ATCCCTCCCCCACCAGTGCCATGGGACAGGCCCCCCCAACATCCTTCCCCCACCAGCGCCATGGGGCAGGGGGTAATGCGCAGACCCCCACCCTGTGCCCCTACCCCACCAGCGCCATGGGGCAGGAGGTAACACGCAGATTGCCGCGCCTCTCCCTGACAGCACAGGGGCAGCATGCACAACCCCCCCCCCCGCATCTCCCTCCCCCTGCCACCAGCATCAAGGGTCCCTTCCATCCAGATCCCAGGAGAAGGAGCGGCCCGGCAGGGCCCTGCTCCTGCGACAGGCGTGGGGGGAGCTAGCGGGAGAAGTGCCCTGGGGGCAGGGCGGGGCTAGAGCCCGGTCTCGGTGGCCTCTCCGGTTTGTGCCGGGGCAGTCAGCGCTCACTGCAATACTGGGTCTGTACTAGACTGAGCCCCAGCCAACTCGTTGCACACGGGATGGCCCTGGATGGTACCAAGGTGGCCAATCAGGAGCAAAGGGCCAGAGAGGCCCGCCGCGGTGGGCACAGCCCAGAGAGTGGCTCCTAATTGCACGGCTCAGGGCTGAGATGAACCAGCGCGGGGCGCCCACGGGGCTTGGCCGGCTCAGGGCTGGGGTGGGGGCCAGTGGGACGGGTGTGACGGGGGAACTGTACCTTGCAGGTCTGTAGCTGAGGCCTGGTCACCCAGCAGGGGGTGCTCACCGCCAGGTGTTGTCTCAGGTGAGCCTTGGTCTCCGACGGTGACTGGCAGCACCCGCTCCCCTGCTCCCTGCCCCGCGGGCACCTGGCACTCCACAGGAGAATCTGTGCAGTTCGCAGAGGGAGCCAATCACCATTCCACATGGGGAGAGAGCAAGTCTCCCTTAGTCAGGCCCCCGAACCCCCTGCTCAACAAGCCCCCCTCCATCCCCACTGACCCCAAGGCCACCTACCCACTAGCCGACAGCCACTGGTGCCACAGTAACCTCAGCGTCTCACACAGTCACCAGCCGTGTGACCAGCCAGCCACGTGGCACCAAGCGGGCCAAAGGGCCACCAAGTTCTGGCAGGGCAGAGCCCAGCCACTCACACAGCTCCAGGGCGCTCAGCACTCACTAGCTGGGTCTGGCAGCCCCAAACCCCAGCTGAGCCACCCCCAGCAAGTGGCCCCGAGCTCGCCACCTAACCCCACCCCAGGCAGGAGACAGGCGCCCGCCCCAGCAGCCTGCCCCGCCGGAGCACATGGGGAGAAGCAGCGAAGTCTCTTACCAGCCTCCCGTTCCGCACTCTCCTGCTTCAGCGGCGGGAAGGCAGCGAGGGCCGGGTGGAAGTCTGCAAGGAGAGTAGAGGCTGCGTGTAAGAGGTGGCGCTGTCCCGGTCCCAGGGGGGTGAGCAAAGGATTGTGGAGCAGGCAGTGGTGTACTTACCAAGGGTGGGGAGGGGAGCGAACGGGGGCCCGGTGTCTGCAATGAGAACTAGAACAGAATGAAGGTCATCAGAACCCTCTACTCACAGGGCTGGGAGTTTGCTGGGCGAAGGAGTGTAAAGAAAGTCTTACTTGGCACAGGAGAGGGAGCTGTCTGCCCCTGGGATGCCGCGTCCATGTGAGCTGCTGGGAGAGATCAGAGAGAAGAGACGCCCAGCCTGACGGGGGCTGCAGAGAGAACACAACCAGCGCAGGGTCTGGAACGCCCTAGTCACAGCTCCACAGACCCCTGCAGGGTCTCAAGCATTTTACAAGCTATATACAAAAGCAGGAGTCACTCACCCACCACTGTAATGCAGCCACCTCTGGGGTGGAACGTAGCAGCTGTTTAACAGCGCACAGCAACGCTACACAACAGTTTAGGACAGGAAGTGAAGGAGAATCCCACATCCACTTGAAACTGCAGGGGGAATTTAGGGAGACAGAAGGTAATTATCCAATATGGAATCTAGCCGGGACAGCAGGGTTCACACCCTGACTTGTGAGAAGTGTGGTGGGATCTTTAACGGCCAAGACCTCTATGTTATGTCCCTTGCAAGGGTTGTCTGTTGCTCCAAGAGCACAGTGCCCCCTGCTGGAGCATTGGGTCAGTACAAGCGATGGACATGTCACCACCCAGCCACAGACAGCTGGTCCTGGTGCCTCTGACGCGGGCGACCCACTGCTCACATTCTAGGGGGCAGCTGCATGGTCTTCTTGTGAAATGGACTCACCCTCCCCCAGCTGATGTTATTACTGGGTTACTTACTACCCACCTGGGGCCAGATCAAGCCAGCGCCCCTTAAAGTGCAATGGCCCCATATCCCGTTCCACACACCCCAGAGTCAGCCCCCCGCGGGGCGGCCTGGAGCCAGAGTCTGAGCCAGGCAGGCCCCAAGGTTTCCCTTCCCTGTTGTCACACCCCAGAAGGCCTGGCTCCGTTTCCCAGGAGCCTGGCGGGCCGAGCGGTACTTACGGCTCACCGGCTCGCTCTTGGTGCACAGCCCCAGTGCAGACGGTGGCCTGCCCGGGATTTCCGTGTGGAGGACGTGCCCTGCACATGGGAAAGGAAAGGGCATCACAGTGCAGTGGGAGCAGGCTGGGGGGAAAGACCCATGTGGCGTGACACACTCATCTTCCAGGAGCGGCTGCGGGCTCCCAGGCAGCGACCTGCCCGCTGGATCAGCACCACCTCTGAACACAAGAGCCAGCGTCACCAGCCAAACGGACCTACGGGCACCATTCGGGGGGCGGGCCCCAGCCACAGGACCGTACAGCCACACAGAGCAGCATGCTTGGCTCTGGGCCCGCACTAGCCAAACGAGCTAGAGCAAAGGGCCAGCACCGCAGGAGTGTGGGGCAGAGCACAGCTGGGGGGCTGGCAGAACAGGTGGGGGGGTGCAGGAGCCAAGAACATGCTTGGGGCTGGGGCGGGAATGGCAGAGAGGGAACACTCCGCAGGGAGGGGAGGAACAAGAGCGCGTCCCCCCCTCCATCTGGGGACAGCAACGCACTCCAGTCCCACAGGACCCTCGCAGCCCTGTCCCCGGCCCCTCAGGCGCTAGCGCTGCTCCAGGGCTGGGGCAGGACGCAGTCCCTGCTGCCCCATGGCATCCCTATGCCCCACGGGTACCTGGTGAGGATGGAGGCTGGGCCTCGAGCCGTGGCCTCCGCTTCCCGGGAGGTAACTTCACCAGGTCTGGAAAGGAAAGGCAGCTCGGCCCAGGGCAGGGAATGACTGAGCCAGCAAAGCCACCTGGCAATGGGAACCGCAGCCGCCCGCCTGTGCCAGCGTCAGCCTCCATTCTCAGCCTGTGCGCGACAGCCCCAGGACACCCCCTGCCCCAGGACAGGGGAGGCCACAGCCCAGCACCTCGGAGACGCGGAGGGGCCGTTCCTGCAGCAGGGAGCAGGGACGGTGGCTGCCGAGTGCAGCTGGGCCAACACCAGGAGTGGCAGAAGGTGTTTAAGGTCCGGCTTGACAAAGCCCTGGCTGGGGTGATTGGGGATTGAATCATAGACTATCAGGGCTGGAAGGGACCTCAGGAGGTATCTAGTCCAACCCCCTGCTCAAAGCAGGACCAATCCCAACTAAATCATCCCAGCCAGGGCTTTGTCAAGCCGGGCCTTAAAAACCTCCAAGGAAGGATTGGTCCTGCTTTGAGCAGGGGACTGGACTAGATACCTCTTGAGGTCCCTTCCAACCCTGATATTCTATGATTCTAAGGTCCCTAAAAGTGGGGGAGGCCACGGGCACCTGAACCAGGGCCGGTGCAACCAATTAGGTGACCTAGGTGGTTGCCTA